AGTTGTAGAAATTATTCTATCAAATTATATCAGAATACTCTTTCATTTCTAACCAGGATACCTCATTTAAAATTTTCCATTCTACAAATGAAAACTTTTTGGAGGTTTCATTTCTTCTTAGTCATCCTTGATTTAAATTTGCCACAGCTTTGCCCCTTACAAAGTAAAACCATGTATTAGAAAGGGAAAATCGGAGTCCTAATGCATAACACAAATGATAAGGTCCCAGTGCCTTGTCCCTCCATCTCCAGCCTGAGGGTGACTGGATCTTAGAGACAAAATTCCTATGTTGAAGATAAAAAGGTCACTACATTGGGAGATGACCCACCATATCCCATCACAGCTCAAATACCCCAGTACACCCTTGGTCCATACCAAAGACTTTGATTTTCACTTCTCTCAGGGAAATCGAAGCTTTTGTAACAAACTCTAAAACTTTCTCTCATTGTAGTCAGATGAGCAGAGGCCAGTTGAGAGCCCTATGCTTTGTTGTTGTTTTCTGTCCTTTCTGCTCAACTCTTGACCATTAAGCCACCAGTTCTAAAGTTTTTCTGCTGTTCTGTATACTGACCCCTGGACCCTGATCTAAACACACATCCCAGCCCCTAATAATCAGAGTTTCCCTTGTTATAATGGTAACCAACTTAGGTATAATTTCATTGTCAAAATCAAATATCCCAGAAGCCACCAGCTGCTGATTTAGGCCCCAGAGGCCCTAGGCCTGTGCTCAGTTCTAACAGTCTGTTTCATTATGCATCTAAGACCTTGATTAGGTCAAAGCAGGACCAGTCAGCTAAATCTGGGAGAGATTTAGCTCTCCTGTCTGGGATTAGGCTAATGAGCTGGATCCATATGAGAGTTCCAAAGTAAAATAATAATGAAATAAGCGTGCCAAAATGCCATAAAAATAAAGTGAGAGTTCCAAAATCATAACTGAGCATCTCCTAATTGAGCTTGCCCAAGGCAAACCTCAGACTTCTGAAGGAGGAATTATCTTTCCTGTTGTCAGGAGGCATCCCTAACTGG